CCCCGGGGCAGCCCCAGCATTTCTCACATACTTCCCCACAAACCAATTGCACAGGAATGCAACGGGAGAGGAATCTTAAAATCAGAACTGAACAAATTCAGGAAAAAACATCACATAGAAAGACAAAATATTTGTTCCTAATCAAGTCATGTTGATACAAACTCACTGCCCTGCAGGCCAGGCAAAGCAGAATCATGATTCCTCTGCTACAAAACATTCCTGCAGCACAGAAATGCTGATCATTAATCACTCCATGCTGGGCCCAGACTAACAAATGCCAGCCTAACTTCAGGCATATCAATGACTTCCTTGGGACTACTCAGATGTTTAAATGAAGACAAGTGGTTCAATATTGTAATAAATTAGGGGTTCACTCTACAAAGGCCAGCACACCATGGGTATGTTCTCCCTGAGCCCGTGGAGATTAGCAGTGTGCTGTGAAGCCAGTTACTACCTGTTGTATCTCATTTCACAACTGAGCTACTCTGGGACTGTACACGGGCTCAGTTACATGGCTGAGCTGGCAAGTGGTAATTCCAGTCAGCCACAATCACAGGAATGTGCCTTAAATCTCTTAGTGGATCAGACACTTCATAAAAACTCCTACTCTTCAGACTACTGGTCCTGCAGTCCATGACTGCCACTTCCCCAGAGATCTGAGAACTGACTTGGACCATCCTGGCTGAATTCCTAATAGGAATGCTGTCTGCTTCTAAAGAAGGTAAGCACAGCTCCTATATCCTACACATTTTCAGTGAAGAAACTGAAAAAAATGAATGGAGCAGGTTGTTTTCAGAGGAGGAGTATTCAAGTCAAAACAAGATCCAAGCAGGGGGGAGTTTGTATTGAAGGAAGAAGGTTTTTTTTCAGGCCGTGTGGATGTTTTACACCTCTTAGGTGAGACTATTCAATTAATAGAATTTATTTCTGTAAAGTCTAAAAGAAGTCCTTGAGGATCTTGCTTTTGAGAGTGAACAGACCCTGTGGGTTACACAAGTGCTTTTGTCCCCTGTATCTGGGCAGCTGTCCTGCTCCCTTTATCAGGTGAGAGCATATATAGAATATATTCATATGTATAAAAAATAATGGAATTATTTGGGTGGGAAGGGGCCTTTAAAGCCCATCCAGTTCCACCCCCGGGGACCTTTCACTGTCCCACGTTGTTCCAACTCCTGTCCAACCTGGCCTTGGACACAGAACATCACACAAAGGTGGCAAAATCTGCCCCCAGGCTCTCCAGCAGTGCTCAGCAGGCTGCACACTCACAAGGAATGCTTCGTTAAACTCGAAGGAGCAGGGGAACTGCCTCTGGAGCTGATGGACACAGTCCAGCCACTGCAGAAACACCGGGCAGCGCTCGTTCAGGTCGTCCGAATTCTCCCCGTGGCCGCAGCGATCTGCAAACTTGTGGCCAAAATCCAACCACTCCGTCTCCACCAGCACCTGGAAACCCTGCAGGGAGGAGAGGAGAGATGAAGGATTCCTATTTTTCTTTGGTTCAGTTTTCTGAGATGGTCTGAGACTTGTGGGAATCGCTGTGTCCTCTCTCCTATTTCCCCTCAGCACCGGGCTCATTAGTTCTCTTTACTGCTTTCCCTAATGCCTCTGTGCTCTGAAATGGAATTAGGGCAGATAAGGATTCCCAAACTACATGCACAGGAAAGGGAATAAGGCAGGTTAAGCCCTCAGTGACTGGCAGGGACGATCCTGATATGAGCCCTATCTCATCCAGGCAGTGAAAAGCAGGAACTTCACACTGCCAAAGCTTCTGGATCATGGTATCCAGTCTTTGGACAAGTTATATAAAAACTTTTCTTGAAAATGATGGTCAGATCCACTTGTGAGGAAAGAAAACCATCCATCCACAACAGGACATCCAAGCTCAGGGGGAGCAGGTGCTTGTCTGTGTGTACAGCAGTCACAAGGTTGATTAAAGGTTCACTTGAGTGATTTTTCATGAAAAGGGCAAAGAACATTTCCAAGCAGTGCCTGGGCGAGCAGCTGAATGTCACACCTCGTCTCACAGGACCTGAAATCCATCACAGGGCAGGCAGGTTTTGGTTCTTAGTGGAAAGAAAAATTGTAGAGAATGTTTATGGAGTCGAAGGCTGTGATTAGAGCCAAAATAATGGCTGTGATTAGAGCCAAAATAATGGCTGGCAGCTGAAAAGCTTTAAATCTGACAGCACTGAAAACTCATTCTCCTCAATGTTTCTAATCCTGGTACAGACAGTTACAGTTTATGGTTTGCTCTGGGTGGCAGAGAAGGCCCAGAGTGTGCACAGCAGCAAGGACAGCACCCTGTGGAGGACCAGGAGCAGATCCTGTGCCCAGACCAGGGCAGCACGTTTTGCCTGATGGATGCCAGCTTCTAGAATCCATGTGGAAGGGGATCCAGGAAGTTTTCACACTTCCATCCAAAAGGCAGCTCCAGCCCCTGGCCCAAGTGTGTGTGAGGCTGCATCACAGCAGTGTTCAGACACTGAGTTCTGTTCTGGACAACAAAGGCATCTTGCCCGTGGGCTGGCAGAGGGAAGCCAGCCAGCACACGACCCACAGTGCTGGAAAGTGATGGAACAGGGGAAAAGCAGGAGAAATATAACTGACAGAGGGGAATGGAAATGCAAAACTGGAAAACCATGCAGCTGGGAAATGCACCAAAGAGGAAGGCTCTCTATCAGTGCTTGGCTGAGAACCTGCAGGGGTGCAGCAGAAGCTGCAATTGCAGCACTTTGTACTCCATATTCCTAAATTAAATATGGGGAAGCACAGACCATGCCTGTGCAGTTACAGCAGAGGCAATGTGAGCTACTCCGGAGTAACACACACACCTACATGTCACAGACATTTCTTCATAGAAATCCTTTCTTTGGGATTTCTCCTTCTTCTGGGAAGCAAAGGGTCCCAGAAGAAGAATGTAAACAATTGTTATCAGCTGCTGTGAAATGTAGCAGGTGTCCCTGTGATTGGCTCATCTTCCTTGTGTACCATTGAAGGCCAATCACAGGAGCAGCTCAGGGACAGATTCCCTGGACAAAGAACTTTGTTATTCATTCTTTCTATTCTATTCTTAGCATAGCTGCTCTCTGTAACCTCTCTTTTTCTTCCTTTTAGTATAGTTATAATGTATTATATATCTTATATGAATAAATCAGCCTTCTGATCAAGAAACAAGATTCTCGTCCTTCTCTCACCACAGTGACCGTCTAAGGTCGCTGTAATACCTACACCTGGGAGTAACTGCAGGCTAGAGGTGACAAACTCCTGCCAGGGGAGAAACCCGCAGTAACCCACAGCCAGACTCCCTGCAGAGACCCTGCTTTGCCCACCTCTGTGGTCCTGTAGTAGGGGTCCAGCAGGAGCTTGGCCAGGGCCACGATCTGGGGCGTGCGGTCCCAGCCGTCGGAGCAGTGCACCAGCACGGGCCGCTGGTCGCGGTCCACGGCGTGCACCACCAGCAGCGCCGACTTGAGGAGCACCGACAGGTGCTGCAGCCACTTGGTGCTCTCCAGAGCTGACAGCCAACTAGAGGGAAAGCAGGCAAGACAGTTTTTGCTCTTTTAAAATGCCTTCAGGTTGGGATGTCTGAGTTTATCACGGCAAAGCTGCTGTTTTAATAAGCTGTGAGTGTCAGTCTGTAGCATTTCTCACTTGTGTCTTGTTAACGCTTTCCCAGAGGTGGAAGCAGCAAAGCCACCAAGCCAACCCAAGGAACTGCCACAATCTGGGATGAGCTGAAGGTTTGCATCTACTTTGAAACCATGGAAGGCTTCAGCAGCAAATTCCAAACAGGGGAGTGGGAGGGAAAACAGGACTGGGGTAACTCCAGTGAGGACCCCATGACAGGACAGTTACCCCACAGCACTGGAGGGTTATAAATATTCTCCTGAAATGACATTTTAAACGAGTGAAGTACATGGAACACCACCACAATTTTCCAGATGTCAGCCAACAGTGAGGATTAATAAAAAGCTGGGAATAGCAGATCAGCCTAAGTGCAAGTGCTCAGAAGCCCACCAGAAGAAACAGCACTCTGGTATCAATATTCAAGGCTCCACTCTAATTTCAGAACTAATTTGCTATGTTCACTTCAATCAGAATAAACCAATGACTTCCATGAAAATGGAAAAACACAGCTTAGCGCTATTACCAAGGGAAAATCCACTGAATTTCAATTAAAAAATCATCAGCAGAAGAATGTGGCTGCAGAAACACGGAACCAAGGGCCCAAACCCCCCAACTTCCACTTACTTTCCTGGGTCTGGCATTTGTGTGCAGAGCAGACGCAGCGACTGGAAGCTCTTGCGGATGGAGTGGATGTTTGCCATCCCCATGAACACCACTTCACAGTTGGGGTAATATTCTGCAGGGAAAGGGCAAGACACAGGGAAGAAAATAACAACCACCTCTCTAAAAGAGGATTTTTTTCATCCAAACAAACCCCTGTTGCCGTGGACAGATGAAATAATCTGTTTACAAAGATTCTGTAAGTCCTTGGAGCTCGCTGGGTATTCCAGACATGACAACCCAGCAAAACAGGAAGCATTTAGCAAAGTCCTGCTGTATTTATTTCAAATGTTTCATTTCAGGTTACAAAAAGCAGAGTGCAGACCTCTGGGAATTCCTGAGCTCCAGGTCCCAGAATGTTTGTAAAAAGACTGACAAACATCAAAAGATATGAAACATAAATAATATTTAATTGGTAATTTATGGATTTAAGTTAGATTTCAGATTCCTGTTCCTAAGCACTCAAAAAGGCTGAAAGGTTTCTTCATCCACTGCTTTCTTCTGAGGGGAATTGTACGAGGAAGCATCACACATGTGAGAAATACCAGGAGCTCAGGGAAACAAAATACAAGGAATTACTTTGGAGGTGCTCAAGCAACACTGGAGGCCTGAACAGACAGGGCCAGTGCTCAGGGGCACCTGAAGTGAGCCAGGAAATCCCAGCTCAGTAGCTTTCCCAAGATTTAGTCCTCCCTCTGCTGTGATGCTTCAGGCTGCACAAGAATGATCACACAGTAACTAAAATGACCATTTCTACAGGAGAAAAATAATCAGGATTCAGGGTCTGGGATAATGAGAGCTTGCACAAGAAAATTCAGGAGTCTGTGATGTTTTGTATCATTTGATTTCTCAACTCTTTATCAGCCCAACAAGTGCTGGGCCAAACACAGTGAGGGACTGCAACTCCAGGAGCAGCCTCAGACAGTATCTGACACCTTCAGAGTTTTTTTTTGTATTTTTACTCAATTATATCTAAAGTACAGCATAGAGGAGCTATTTTTATACAGAGAATGAAGCAGACCTGGCAATACCTGCAGAAAAGTTAGCAGCAAAAAGCAAAACAGGTTTTACTGAAGGTGACACACTGTCTGAAAACCTTCTCCACAGAATTAAAAAGCCAATATACAGGAAGAAAATCAAACTTCCTGTATACTGTGCTTTTCTGGTATGAAATTTTACACTTTGATGAAGAATTATTTAGTGGTTTTGAGGTGTTAAATGAAAACCTCTAATTTTTTTTAAACTGGTGGTTAAGAATCAAAATGCAGCTATTGCAGCAAAGACCAAAATAAAAGGTCAAAAGAGCTTTCATTATCTTATCTCCAGTTTTTCTGTCTGGGATTTTTTTCCAGCCTCTCCACCCATGGAATTTTAACAGGCTGCATTAATACCCAACAGTGACCATAAATAATACCTTGTTTATAAAACCACCAATTCACAAGTGCCAAAGAACACAGAATGTGGTGTTGCAACTGTATTACACATGCAAGGTGAGGCAGGGTTGCAGTTGCTATGATACAAATACTGAAAAATGCTTCAGCTTTAGGGAAATTGCTGAGAAGCTGTATTTTGCACAGCCATTCTAGAACATTCTTCTCCTCTACAGCCAGTGGGATTTACATGTACAGGGGTTTTAGACATGAGCACACTGGACACCTTTGTCTCTCTCTAGCTGATACATCTGACTCAGCAAGGGAGAGCTCTTCAGCAGATTCCACAGGGTTCAGCATTCACTGAGCACTGCTGCCAGCTGGGCTCCTGGCCTGAGAACAGACTAATGAACAGCTCAACTGCCCTCTGAAGGGCTGTGGGGCTGCCACGATCCAGAGCCTTCAGAGGGATGAGCAGTGTGCACACAGTGCTGAAGGTGCTGGGTAATCCCACTGCAGCAAATCCCTTTGGTTGCCTGGAAAGCTGAGGAGGAATGCTGCTCACCTGGGCACTCACACCACCCCTGGCACACCTGGGCACTCACAGCCTCCCCCTGGCACACCTGGGCACTCACAGTCACAGGCAGTGCTGAAGGTGCTGGGTAATCCCACTGCAGC